GCATATAGAAATGGGATGCCCATTTCCAAAAGCAGCTTTGAAAAAATGAAGAAATAATGACAGTGTAGAAGATGACAATGGAGATACTATACATTTTTAAGAACCCGTTTGTGTGAGAATGTCCTCTATCAACAACAACTACTCTCTGTGTGTATGTGTGTCTCTGTTATTAGCAGTCACGCCTTCACTTGCAACAGACCTGGCCCCAGGCAAGTCTTATTCAAATTCCTTTTCTGATCCATTTGATCCATTTCGGACAGCTTTGATCTAGCCCAAAGGAACAACACTCTACTAGGTTCCTAGCTAAACCCTGTCCTTCCCTGAGACAAGATAAATTAATTCTCAGGACGACTTCCTTAACCTTGTTTCAACCCATCCATTGAAAGACTTCTAAAATCCAGGAAACGAATTAAGGAGAAAGAGGCTACAGAGAAAGAAGAGAGATGAATAAGGATAGTCAATATGAAGAGACGAGAAATAGATCAAGTATTTATGAGCAAATGCTGTTTGCCTAGGACAGCGCTCTGATGGAATATATAGATCCATCTCCCAGCAGATCACGTCGTTATGTAAAGTAGGGAAAGGGATCAGAGGATGAACAAATTGATACAGACTCAGATCTGATCAGGAGTTTTTTCTTATGAAAGTGAAAGACATCTCTAAAAGATGAAAGAACTTTTTGAAAATGGTGTATCTATTTTGAAATACCCCAGCCATTCTAGCGTTAGTTTTAAGTAAATAAATTCTTAAAGAAGAAGAGTCACCTGGATAGATTCCTTTTTTTGCAGCTACCATTGAATCCTACTGTAGTCTTTAAAAGCTCAAATTGGTCGCTCATAATATTCTGAAAAGCATACCTCTGTGTGCCAACTACATCAGTCCTCCACAGAGCAAGCACTACACAGGGGAAATAGGGTGTCTACAAAAAACCCTACCTGCTCCTGGTTGCCTTATCCCTGGTTCTCTGTTATTCTCCTCTGCCCTAGCCACAGATGCCTCTGTTTCCCTGCACTATTTTTTCTCATCCTGCTCTTTCCTCTATGCCTCTCCTCATCGAGGACTTACATCTGCCTGTGGTCCTCAGGAATGTCTTGAGAGCCATCGGAATGACTCAGGGCTTCACAAGGCTCTCACTATTGACATTAGGGGGCTGGATAATTCCTTGCTGGGGGGGGGGGGCTGTCTTGTGCATTCTAAGATGTTTAGCAGCGTCGCTCGCCTCTACTCAACAGATATCAGGAGCACTGCCTCTCCTACTTGTGACATACGAAAATGTCCAAATTGCCAAATGTCCTATATATAGGAGCAAAATCTCCCCCCTGTTGAGAATCCCTAGAACAGTTGTATCGGCTTCTACTCCTTAACTTAATGACTTGGGATTAAAAGGGGCTATAATGAAGACCGAAGAGGGAACAGGGAAAGAATTATCTTATTGCAGATGGCCTCAAGAAGCATATCTATCAAATAGGTAGGCAGAGTCCAATTTCTCTATGACTTCTACCCTATCTGTCAAGCTCAAGAATATCCTGAATCCACCAGCACAGTGCGTTTATCAGTTGCAGGTTACAAGAGATGCCATTAAGATCGAGGGGCCTTTGTATTTTGACCTCAGAGACAGTGTAGGCAGGAATTTTCAGCAGGCTATAAATATCCAACGCATTCTCGTATAACCCATAATGCCTTGTTAGGTTAATATAAGGTGTCATTTTTGAGCCTTAGTGCTTTGTTGGCAATTCACTATAGATTAGGGAAAGGAAGAAACCAAACCAATGACATGCTAAAATGACTAGGAACTGCCATATGGCTCACTAATAAAGTGACTTGGGCACTCATACACCTTTCTAAATGCTGGTTTTCTCTTGAGTTTTTCCTAGCCTTAGAAAACAGTCAGCTAAAATGTCAGCTGCCAATCAGTGAGCTGAGAGGAATTTCTCAACTTTTTTCCCCCTTAACTTACTGGTATTTATTCATGCCATCACAGTTAATTCTCCCAGCTTATTTTGTGTTATCCCATACACAAGAAAGTCCATTTAAATGCATTTAAGGCACTTTGTGGTCCGTGTTTCTGACAGGCCTTTCTCTTACATCGCCCCCTAGCCCCCGACACCGAGACAGGCTAGAGAGTATGATATGATCAGTTTCTGCATGAGGAAACACAGATTTAACATTAAATTTCCTTCCAGTTGGTTTGGCCACTTTCTTTGTAAAGCTAATAGCACTTCTATGCCATGGTTTTTCTATGCGCCCTCAGAATACTACAGAATTCAATCTACTTCATCTCAGCCTCTCCACAGCGCTGACACATTTCACTGCTTCCTCCTCTGAAATACATTTCACTCTTGGCTTTCATGATACTACCTTCTCCTTGATTTCCAGTTTTCCTGCTGCTCATCTCAGTTTCCACGACCCTTCTTGACTGATGGTTCTCTTAAACTTGTGCTCTTTTTGACCCATTAGTACAAGCAGGTGTGACATCGAGCCTTCTTCTTTATCTAAGCTCTCCCTGGGTGATTGCCTCCAGCCTTATAGTTTTAAGTACCATCTACTTCCTAATGACCCACAAATTTCTATATCCAGATCTGAATTTTTCAATGAGCTTTAAAATTCACAGATCTCATTTTCTACACACCAAAACCTCCTGGGTCTAACAGGCATAACAAAATTAGGGTGGCTAAAACAGAATTCTCTATTCACCATCCCTCTCACTCACTTCTCCTCTTCCTGACTGCCCAAGGTCCCAGCCATATGTGAATGTTTATCTTCCCCCAACTCCTTACCTCAAGCAGCTCTCCTTTGCTCCACCCAGGAAATTTCCTCACCACCCTCTTTCTACTCCATGGCCATGTTAATTCAAACAGTCTCCCTCAGGTAAACTTCTTATTCCATGAGCAGATCTTGGGCTGCCCGAGATTTCCTTTATTCCATTCCTTCCTTAATACCCAAAGGCCCCTGTTTTTTATACCTCTGCAAGGAGGGGTGTGGGCACAGTAGTAATCCTGACACTCAGGTTTGGTCACTGAATTGGTTATCCTATGTATCAGTACATAAAACCTTCTGACATGACATTTATAATGCAGCAGTTTGGACACCAAAGTCTGACTTGACTGCAAGGAACCCAAAAAACACAACAAGCTTTTGATACAGTTAGATAAATACCACAAATTCTTCTGCATGTTTCTGTTACAAAATAACTACTGAAACGAAGACCCTTCTCATATTCTGGAGTCTCAACCATCTCCTGATCTCTGGGAAAACATGTACAAATATGGTATAAAGAAAACATGGTACAAAATATCCACCTACCGAAACTCTCACACCAAAATGACAACATCAAATAAGCCAGAATAATAAATAGATGTATTAGTTTCACAAAACTACTTAGAAAAAAATATCTGAAATGTCTTGATAAAAATGCAAAGATGCAAAATGTTCATGACTGAAGAGTATAAACTCTTGAAGAAATCAGACAAATTTATAACTCTTCTACATAATAGGGTCAGTTTTTAAAGACTAGAGATAAGCCCTAGCCTCTAAAAGTACCAAACTTTTAAAAATAAAATTAAACTTAGTGGCTTCAGGTAAATATGCAAATAACCAATGGGAGGAATGTTGTGCTCTATCTGAAAAAATAAAGTGGAAATTAGTCTTTTAATGGTTGATAAAAAAGTCTCAGAAGTAGAGTTTATTTTCTCAATGTAAACAAACCCGAAGTGAATTCTTATCCTTTTTATTGCGGCCAGATGGAAAAAAAGATTCTTGAATAGTGGGGTACTTTGTTTGCAACATAAACCTACAAACAAATAAGAACACCAAGGCTGTTCCTGTCATTAAGCCTCAGGATAATGAGGCTGCCTTGGCTGAGGGTATAGGGTATCCACCAGCAGACAGAGAAGCTACCTAGAGGTTACAAGATAAAGTTTCAAAAAATTGTTGTTTAAAAAAAATGTTTTTTATACGAGAGGATGCTTAGGGTGTAGCAAAAAAGAAACCAAAAGTAAATGTGAGGTGCTAAACCAGGATTCACAGATTGAGACATCTTTAAACACCTGTCCCCCACATGGAAGTATGAAAGGGTCTAGGACAGGATTTATTTATGGAGGGAGTCTTGGCATGCTCTGACTCCCACACACCTCTCTAGTAGGGAAGGGGAATGGCTTCTCAGAGAAAAGGGCTTTACTGGGACCACTCAGAGCTTCATGTTTGCCCCTTACAGTTTGGGGTATACTGTACACTGGGATCTGAACCATGCCTGAGAAATCTAATTTGTAAGAGGATGGCTAGAAAGTGCAACAGATTCGGGACAGGGAAGTGGGGAGATAACTGTCCTCCCAAAGATTGTTGGGGCAAAGGATATCTGAGTGTTCTCCTGAGGACTTCATGTGGGTCACGAGAGGCAGGCTGGATTTCTTAGATTCTGTCCAAAAGACCAAGATGTGCTAGTCAGACTGCATTTTAGAACATCTGCTTGATGGTTGTGGGAAACAGAGAACTCACTTTTCTGGATGTGAAGAAGACACATGCAGCCCTGGTTGCTAATGGCAGCCATCTTGGGCATGGAAACATCTAGTTCAGAGGTGAAATTGACAGACAAGGGGAACAGAGCAGAAACACCAGCAGAAAAATGAAGCATGAAGGTTGGCCAGTGGTACATAAAATCCACCTTTGATCTGAACTTTTCGCTGATGTGCACAAGTAAGACTTTCCCTGTCAAGCTAGTTTGAACTGAGTTTCTAATATTTATCATTGAAAGTACTTCATTTTGTAATCTCTTCTAAATGACCTGGGAGAAAATCCACAGTCCAAAGTTGTGCTACACCAGAGTAGTCCCAAACCAGGAAAATATAAAAGAATCAGAATGTCCACTTCACTCGGTTCTTCATGTGAACTCTATCCTTAGGGAAGATGTGGCCTCTAATCCAAATGAAGCATTGATTGAAAGATGGACCTTCTTTTTGCAGGGGAGCTAAGAAAACAACCACAGGGGGTCAATTATGTGTTACCTGGTAATGAACTCTCTGGAAGCCAGAAGAAACTGACTGCAGGTCCTAATGAGAAAATGGAAAAAAAAAAATCCATACCTTAAGATTAGTTTGGACAAGCTGCCTCTATAACTCTATCAACTGAACCCCCAATTTAGTATTATTAAACTCATCTAGAAAGTATCTATAACTCTTTCAAATTCATCAAGCTTAAACAAAGAAGATAATGCCCAAAATAACAAAAACACACCGACCTGGAATGAAAGAAGAAAGGCCATTTAGCTACTGAAATCTATATATCCTAAATAGTTTTAGAGGGGAGTGATACAGTTTCAAGGATCAAGAAGACCAAAAGTAAAAACCAGGCAATTTCATTTTAATAAATGGGGGGCCATATTTAATTTGCACCTGAACTTTTGGCTTATGAAGAAAGCTTCTAAAATCCCTTTAAGTACTTAGAAAGAATTTATTGATCTTAGACCAAATGCAAACTGTACAAGTAATTGTGTTTCTACTGCTAAGTGCTTGGCAAACACAGGTTTTCATAGACAGCCAAGAGAAAATCACTGGCCACCTCTGCATGATCATGAAGTGCAAATTAATAGGGTTGAAATTAATGAGGTTTTACTGGCAGATTCTGAGAGTCTGGCTTCCTTTATAAAGTTTTATAACTAAGTTGTCACCATGATCATGTCCTGAAGGCTTCCTTGTTAATGAGGATAGTGATTCTATTCACAGATGTCAGCAATCCTGGGTACCTCTGTCCTCATACCTGCTTCCCACAGGGCTTTACCAACCCACTCTCTGTGCCCAACTTAGTTTTAAAACTTTTCCTCTTTGAGTTCATTCATTCATTCTTTTTTCTTTTTTTTTTAAAAATCCCGCTTTTAGTTGAATATTAATATTACATGCATGCCAATAAGTTAGTTTTCAACAAAGTCAATTCATCAGTCATGTCATGGACTACCATGAAATCTTAAGTTACCCAAGAGTTAAAAAAAAAAAAAGGTTTTGTATCATTTATGATTTGTCTTTTTATTGCAGGTTTTTTGAGGGAGATTTCACAATAAAATAAAAACATTATTTGGGAAAGTGAGATACTGTGGTATTCGAGGAATATCGATTTGAGCCTGAGTCACACACTACTAAGTCCACAAATTTTAACATGTTAAAGTTATCTTTGGTAAAAAAAAAAAAAAATAGCCAAATGAAGCCACAAGCGTATAACTTGCTGATTTTACTTCTCTCACCCATATCAGTGTTCAAAGTTTGGTCTCTACCTCAAAATATATTGTGTTTACAATTCCATCTCTATGCTTAAAAATGTTGAAAAGGAAACTTAATAATTTTTCATATTACTTTATGCCTCTTACCTGAACTTACTGCCACCAAGAGAACTAGAATCTCATGTTTAAAGCTAAGTGGCTACAACTTGATGGTATTTTAAGCGTTATATATCTTCTTTATTTGTGGTATTTACTTAATGGAGAACGTGTCATCTAGAAGAGAGTTGTTCAGCTTGTGGTATCTATAAGAATTGCCCAATAGCTTAAGAAATACAAATGTCTAGACCACATCCAGGAAAAAATGATTTTAATGCACATCTTTCATCAAGGAAAAATGATGAAGAAGTGGCTATTTATGCTTTTCATCATTTGTAAAATGAAGACAGAGAATACTCCCTCTCAAAGTTTGGCAAAAACAATCAATGACCACCGCAGTGATGGGTCTGGGTCTCCTGACTTGGCTGGTGCAGCTCAAATTCGTGGGAATGGCATATATGAGGTCTCTTCCATTGTCTTTCTCTATGGTAAGCCAGACTGAGGAACCAACTAGAGTACTCTTCTGTGTTCGGACACACATTCCTAGGAAGGACAGAAGGTTTTTCTTTCCTGTGGAAGTTATATTTTTAAAAAATGTAGTGATCTCTGACCGAAGTCTGTGCTAAATACAAAACATTAAATAACCTAACTCTCTGTTCTCCTTCATTATTCATCAGGACCCTTTGAAATTCTATATAGCTCAAAAAGCACTGGATGTCGTCTGGCAAAAAGATAAGAAGTTCCAAGCTATAGTTATGGATCACACTAGAGCAACGTCCTTTCCCATTTCAACCACCTGAGGAGGGAAAATAGCAGTGGGGGTCAGGGAGAGAGATGTGGTCAATGCTTAAAGGACGAGGACACCACGCTTCCATTTTCTCCCCAGATGCATTATTTCAGAAGTAAATATATATGGCTGGTAATTGTTTACAAAAATGGAAAATTGAAAATAAATAATTGGCTAAAGAAACTCACCTCCTGTAGGCGGTCTATGTACATACGGCAAGTCTCCAAATCACAGTCTCCACGCACAACTAGAATACCCAGAGGGATAGCTAAGGGTGAAGGAAAGAGAAAAGTCTAAAATAACATATTTGATTTTTCTAGACTGGCATAAATGTGTTTCTTAGGGTTAAAAAAGTATCTCATAAATATTATTAGTGTTTTGGACATTTCAATATCCAAAATTCTCCTCAAACCTCCCCTGGGACCCAAACTCTTTATTGTGGATGCTTTCCTTGCATGAGTCGTGTTGTCCCTTGCCACCCGGCCAGCCTTCATTTTGTCTCGGTGGCCCTGATATGAAGTGTAATGTCATGTGAACAGTGAGGCATGGCCGGGAGGCGACTCACAGCTAGCTAATAATTTATGCCTGCATTTTCCATAGTCAATGTACCACCAGAGAGGAATTTAAAAATCATGATTCTGGGCCCTTACTCCTTTCCCTCCTGAATGCATGGGGTTTAATCTTTCCGTCAGTTTGCAACGGTTCCCTATTTAAGAGACTCGAGCTACTCAAGGCACTGTTGCTACCTGGTGGCCAACACCAGAACTAACTAGGCATGAAATATTTAAAATAAATAAAAGCTTCTAGAAGGTTTGCAGCTTAAAAATCCCATTGACTTTAAACATGGTCAATGTAAATGTGGTAGCAGCAGGGCTTCAGGGAACAGTTAGGAAAAGCTGTTACGTGTCTTAAATACCCTCTATTTAGGGGGTGGCAAATGTTCCACAATGGCTTTAATGGATAGAACTTCCTAGGTCAGAGATCACCGCAAGATTCCTGAAAACTTGTCTCCTTCCCAAAACTTCAAAAAATATATTGCCTATTTCTAATTGTAAAAGTACAGTTGTACTATTAAATCCATAATTTAGCCAAAAAAAAAAAAATACCCTTTGAAATTCTGAGTTATCCAACTAGAGTCTAGCAAGCACATGACAGGACAGTGGTGTTTACTAAAGATTTTCTAAAATCTTTCATTCATTGAAGTTCTAAAGTCTCATCATCAATAAATGGGTCTGAAAATGCAAAATGCATTAAAATTAATAATACAGAGCATAAAATACATATAAGATGCAGGGAGAAATCTTGAGGAACTCACAAAGTCATGGAGAAGATACACATAAACAATAGTGACTGTAGCCTAGGCTACATTAAATGTATGAGCTTAGGGGTGCCTGGGTGGCTCAGTTGTTAAGCGCCTGCCTTCGGCTCAGGTCATGATCCCAGGGTCCTGGGATGGAGCCCCGCATCGGGCTCCCTGTTCCGCAACAACACAGTCAGGCAGGCAATGAAACAAAGCCTTCAACATTCTAAGACTTTTACACATAATCCAAGCTTTCAAACAATTCCAAGGGTTGAATAAAGGACACACCTTCTATCAAGAAGCTACTGTAGTACTTCCCCGAACAAAAGTTGAGTTTGCAACAAGGATGAGGAATGCATGCAATATAACATATGGGGAATACAACAAAGAAGAGGAGCAAAGGAAACTTCCAAGGTGGGGCTAGCCAAGCCTAGGACGACATATGCAATGAGCTGCCGAACAATATATACAGGAGCACTGTGACTCAAGAGACTGCTATGTGGACAGTTGTCATCATTGAGATATTCACAATACTTGGAGCTTTTTTTCAACCCAAGGATACAGCCCAGGTGAGTCCTAACCAGTTTCTTATATATAACAACACTGTAATCACCCCAGATATACTCTGCCTTAACCTGTCTTTGAGAGCAAGAGTCAGGTTATGATGAAGCAGAAAGTTCAGAAGTTCATTCCCTCTAATCATATTTCTGCTTGATACCTACAACCCACCCTATAACACCTTGACAAATGTTTCTCAGAATTCAATCACTACCTGGCCCCCAAAATCCTCTTAGAATGGGCTCATGTGCATTCTCAGGGAAGCTGAAGCCAGATATCAATGCAGAGATTCTTTTCAGCTCTCCTGAGAGCCTTCCTCTAAAAGTGAAATCATCATCTTTTCCTTATATGGGGAGGTTTAAGTCAGTCAGTCTGTCTCTATCTCTCTTTATTACAGTATAATTCCTACTAGAACAGAATTGCAGCTGACTGGGGCTGCTAACCTATTCAAAACACAAACAAAACTATCTCCAATAGGATCATTAAAAGAAGGTGTGTGACCTTAGAGAAAAGCTTCTCAGAAACTGCAAGGATTTGCAAAGACTGGGTTTTAAGCTCTAAATATATACATAATAATATTAAAATTGCCGAGTCTTGAGGCTAACTAAAAACAATGTCACTTCCTGAAAAGAATAAATCAGAGTTAAAAATTCCTAAAATAGGGAAGTATTTTGAACAATATGGTAAATCATCAAAAATACAGATAATCTTAGAATGAATTTATTTTATGTTAACACTATTAAGAGATACCCTTTTTAAAACTTAACATTTCCTTAAGCATCAATTGTAGATTTACTGACATAATCAATAGGGTTTATGTCCAATACTCACTCTCTTTGTATCAACTTATACGCAATCTTGAGAAACCAATAGGCTGGAAAAAAACCCAAAAAACTGTTCCCTGGAAAATAACACAGGTGAAAATCTAGGCAAGCTTGTGTTTGGCAATGATAGCTGAGGTACAGCACCAAAAGTGTGATCCATGAAAGAGAAAAGTGATAAGCTGGACTTCATTGAATTAAAACTTTTGCTCTGTCAAAGATACTGTTAAGGAAATGAACAGACCAGACACACCAGGAAAAAAATTCTTTGCAAAACGCATATCTGATAAAAGACTGGTGTTCAAAATATGCAAAGGACTCTTAAAACTCAACAGTAATAGTCAATTAAAAAGTAGGCAAAGATCTGAAGAGACATCTCACCAAAAAAACCCACAGAGATGGTAAATAAGCACATGAAAAAGGTGCTCAACATCATATGTCATTAGGGAATTGCAAATTAAAACAATGAGATACCATATATACCTATTAGAATAGCTGAAATTGAAACAAACAAACTGATAACTCCAAATGCTGGTGAGAAGGGGGAACAACAGGAACTTTTTTATTCATTGCTGATGGGAATGCAACATGGTAGAGCCACTTTGGAAGGTGGCTTGGCAGTTTCTTACAAAACTAAACAAATTTTTTTGAAAGATCTATTTATTTATTTATTTATTTATCTATTTATTTATTTATTTATTTATCTGACAGAGATAGTGACAGCGAGAGAGGGAACACAAGCAGGGGCGAGTGGGAGAGGAAGAAGCAGGCTTCCCGCTGAGCAGGGAGCCCAATATGGGACCCAATCCCAGGACCCTGGGATCATGACCTGAGCCGAAGGCAGACGCTTAACGACTAAGCCACCCAGGCGCCCCAAAACTAAACAAATTCTTACCAGCAATAGTACTCCTTGGTATTTACCCAAATGAGCCAAAAATTATGCCCCCACAAAAATTTGCACATGAATATTCATAATTGGCTTTATTCACAATTGCCAAAACTTGTAAGCAACCAAGATGTCCTTCAATAGGCAAATGAAAAACAAACTTAGCATCATATGACGGGATGTTTTCCGCAACAAAGAGAAATGAGTTTTCAAGCCACAAAAGACAATGGAGGAAGCTTAAATGCATATTGCTAAATAAAAGAAGCCAGTCTGAAAAGGTCACGTGCTGCATGATTCCAACTACATGGTGTTCTGGAAAAGGCAAAACTATGGGGAGTAAAAAAAGCCAGTGGTTGCTAAGGGTTACAGGAAAGGGATGGATGAATAGGTACAACCCAGGGTGTACTTAGTGCAGCAAAACTACCCTGAATGATACTGTCAGAGTGGATATGTGTTGCACATCTGTGAGAATCCATAAAACTGTAGAACACAAGCATGAACCTTAATGTAGAAATGTGGACTTCAGTTAATAACAATGCATTAACATTGGCTCATCAATTGTAACAACGAATGTAACATACTAAAACAAGATGCTAATAGTTAAGGGAAACTATGTGTGTGGCGGTGGGGGGCGGGGCATGAGTTGAGGGGATATATGGAACTCTCTGTACTTTCCACTTAAACTTTGTGTAAACCTAACACTGCTCTAAAAAATAAAAAGTCTACTAATTAAAAAAAAAATAGAAAAGAAAAAGAAAAGAAAAAACAGGCTCTGAGTTTCCTATAGACAGATACTTTGCTAACATCCGAGAATCTGCTTACATATAGAAAAACAAATGTTACCTACTTTCTTGGCCATAGTTTTAACACTATTCAAGAAGTCATAAGATGATGGGAAGAAGGGACTAGAGGTAAAAATCAGGGTGGGGAGGCAGGGGACTAAAGAAAGGAAGGAAAGTCCTAAGGAGGATGGGAGGGGGCAAGTGGAATTTTCTTATGGTCCTCATTAGTTTTGAATGTGTTAGGCTGATCAGGGAACTAAAGTTCTAACTTGATGGCTGGCAATAATTAAAGAGAATGAGTTGGCAATGTTTCAATCCAATTCTACCCCCGCCCCCACCATGTGATACAGGTCCATTTTACAACAACCTGTCATCATTAACTGCCACAGCTCAATGGAAACAACAGGGGAAATTGATAGGCATATTAGCATTCAAAAGGATACACAACATCCTAAGAACTTTATGCTGCACCATGCCATAGCTGGGGTCTGTAAAGGGTTTCATGAACCCTGGTTCTTGCTATTAAAAGTGATCCTAGAGTTTGTACTCCATAGCTTGAGCTAAACCTTCCCATAGGTAGTTCAAAATGTCACCCACAACATAAAAGTCAACTAGGTAGTTTTCACTGCATTCTATGTGAGGATAGTATTTTGGAGGTGTGCTTTCTAGCAAGTAGCAGTTTCTCTACAAATCCGGGTTTCAAACCACAATCAAATTCTGCTTCTTGTCCTAATAGTAAACTAACTGAGAGGGCAACCTAAGGGATATCCAACTCACTTTTTAAAAAAATCCTCTTAAACGCTTTGTCATTTATAATCTCAAATAACCACTCCTGGTATTCATTTTCACTTAACTGGGCAATTGTGTTTCAGATATATACATATATAGGGAATTGAACAAAAATATTTGTCAGGTCTACAA